GGGTCACAAAGAGATGCTTGGAGGGTTGGTGATGCCAAACTCACCAGAGCCATGGAGTCACCTACTGAAGAGCCTGTCTGTCCATAATTTCAGTGGAGCTGCACAACTTCAAGTCCACTGCCCCACATCATCCATACAAAATTAAAAGTGTTGAAATATTTTGCTTTTTTTTTTCCTCTTGGTAAGACTCGAGTCTAAGAAAAATCTAGTATATTGCTCATACTTGAGAGTGCACTTGATTAAAAACCATCACTTAAAAAACCCTCGAAAGTTGTAAGCCTGCCAGGCTGGTGAAATCAGAAATGGGTAACATGGAGCACTAGAGGGCAGCAGAAAACAAACCAAAACCGGTAAATCCACCAGTCCCCAGAAACAGGGACTATGTTCCTCACCACGGCCAAGGCAAGCACTGTGCTTAACTAACTTCAACACACTGGTTTAAAAGAAAATAAATTCTGTTGTTCTACGGTTAATAATAATTAGCTCTGTTTGAGACCACAGCTCAAACTGAAGTGGGTTTGCATGTTAACTTCTGCAGTCAATGAAAACTTCCCATCACCAAGCACCTGTGAACAGCACCCCTCCCTTCACCTTCTAAGCAAACCAAAACCTAAAACATTCTCAGTGTGATCAATATTTTTTAGGCAAAGGAGACTATCAGACGTTTCTGTATCTGACCTGAAGCTCACTTATGAGCCCCTTCTAGCTCAGCTTTGGCTCAGTCTGAAAGCAATTTAAAACATCACACACCTTTTGGATTTATGAAGTTACACAAACCTCTTGAAGACACTATATATAAAAGTGTTTAGCCAAACAAAAAATTAATTTTGGAAATTTGGCAACTTTAGGCAGCAGTGGCAGCTCAGACAGCCAAGCTGTAACTTCTACACCAAGCAATGAGTTCTGGGCTGAACTGAACCTCCCAGCACCACCAAGAGCCAGCCCTAAAAGAGCTACTGATGTGACCAAATACACTCCTTTCATTTTCAGCCTCTACATCAACACTTGTGAACAATTCCCAGGCAGGAAAAGCAGAAGCCATGCTGGACTTCTTCAGTAAACACAAACCCACTTCTGCAAAACAGATTAAGTAACACCTGACGGGCCAGAGGACATGGCAGAGAGTATTTAAGGTAGAGAGCATTTAGGGACAAGTCAGAACACATGCACCAACATCAGCACCACTCCTCAGTTGCTAATAAAAGACACAGCAACTCACCACAAAGCTGGGCATGAAAATTCACTGGGAACCCCTGTGAAAACCAGGACACGTTGCAGAGCACTGGATCTTGGCTGTAGCTGTGCTGCTGCCAGGAAGAGGAGCTGTCCCCACTTCATCCACACAAACACTCACATGGCTGCCCAGAAAGCTGGGCCAGTTCCCTGAGCTGATTTCCCACTATGTACCAGCACTAAGGATCAACCAGGAATAGTAAGCACAGCCAGGAGCAGCCTGGGACTCTCCTTGCACCACAGAGGTCAGGGAAGCCCATGGAAAATAACTAAAGGTAAGCCTGGGCTCGAACTTGAAACAAAGGGCAGGAACAAAAGTAGCACTTCTGGAGAGGCAACTAAAGGTTGAACACCTCTTTAATTAATTTTGCTTTTTAAAAAAGCCAGTCAGCTTTTAGATATTTGCAGGTCCCTTCAAGCCTACAGGAAACTCTTGTCCTTCTTTTATTTTCTCTGTTCCTGTGACACACCATTTTCTTCCACTGGGTGACCCTGTCCACCCACCCATTTGAGAACACAGCTTCTCATCACAGAGAAAAAGCAACAAAGGCAGAGGCTACAGGACAAACAGGGAGGCCCATCTGCCCAAGATGACAAGCCCCAGGAAGGGCCATGAAAGGAGATGGGACTGAGCATTGCCTATGCCTCGGACAGGCAGTCTCCCAGGCATGATTCCACAGCTGAACTCTCAAATGCTGCTTCCAAATTGAGGAGAATTTCTCCAGGGCTGCACTGGCAAATCCAGTTCTGCCTGACCACAGAGCATGGGCAGAGCCCAGAACGCTGTGCTCTACCAATTTGTAGAGCACACCTGTTGATTATTCTCTAGCACTTCCTTAGGTTGCAATTTTTCCACGTAAATAGTATTTTTCCACTGTCCCTGGTAATCTCTGGTTCAGTGCCCTGATTTAAGGCTTTCCCACACACACACTTGAGTGCTGCCTGCCAAGTAAGAACTTCTGCTGGCAACTTCTCTTAATCCAGAGGAAGTGGTAATGTCTTCTTGGTGTATTGAGCAACTGAGTGATGCAGATTAAAAAAATGATAAACAATTACATTTTTAAAAACTATCTTCCAGTATGGGATAAAAAAAGTTGAAGAATATTGAAGTGTTTACTGATCCCATTTAATTTTCTATTATCACTTAGACACTTGAACTCACTGTGACAATAAGCTAAAGGTATGAATGCCTGTTGCAAGAGCAGAACCCTCACTTGCACACCAATCATAAAACCACTTATTTATAAACCATTTAAGAGACTTAGTAATGTTCCTACAGGACTACTGCTTTCTTGCCTGGGGATGCCTGCTTTCAGAAGGCCCTGTATTCATGGCTAATGAGTACCTACCTTCTGCTATTAGAGAGGATGGAGCCCTTACCAGTCTCTAGACTAATAAAACCTGTTCCTGGTGCCTCAGGCAGTAGGAATACCCGATGACCATTTCCACCTCCTGAGGCACGGATGGTGTGGTGCTTCAGTCAGTCTCAGTCCAGTTCATGTGGCAGATGGCAGAAAACACAGCCTGTCCTGTCAGTCTGTTTCATTCCTAAGGAAGCTGCCACATTTCCAGAGGCCTATGGGCCTTTTGGAAATGCTTTTGAATCACCAGGGAAGATCCTCATCCATCCTGCCCAAGCCCCAATCCCTTGGTCATCCTGTGGGGGTGCAACCCACAGCCACTCCCACTCTTCCCGCTTACACAACGCCACAGCAGCAGCTCTCAATGCCTTGTGACAAAACAAACAAACATGGGAGCTCCCTTTCCCAGGATACATTTGACAGAACTTGCTCTTCCAAGAATATCTGACATGGACAGACTGTTTCTAAAACCATCTTCCTGTCTCTTCTGCCACAGTGACCAAACTCAATGGGCTGGAACGCTGAAGTTGCATCAACAGAGAGAGTTTAAGTGGATATGTGTATTGGTTTGATGTTTTGTGAGGAGAAAAGAACCAAGATATTCAGAGCATGAATGGTTATCCTGTGACACTTGGATGATTTCACTCCAGGAGCACAGAGGCATCCCACAGTTATTGCTAAGGGGTTTCAGTTGTGAGCAGTCTCTACAACAAGCAATGAAGGGGAGGGTTCATGGGCCTCATCTGCTCTCCTCAGCACACCTGGAATCCACATGGCACAGGGGGTGTTGGGGACAGCCAGGAGGCAGGATGTGGCCTCAGCATACCCTGGTGCTGAGCCTCAGCTGCCTGCTCCCCACAGCCCCACAAACACTTCCCCAGCACTGTCATTTCCACATGTGCTGCTCCCACCGAGCCTCAGACATTCCTGGGGCTGCCAAGTGGTCAGGCAGTTATTCCATGAGTCCCATCCCACACAGCGATCAGGGCCAACTGAATGGTGTTTGAGCAACACATCCCAGGAAACTGCCTCACAGCCCCCAGGATTGCCTCATACCTTCCACACAGGCCTTGTGAAACCTGAGTAGACAAATGCCTTCCAGCCTGTCTCACTACCAGAGCAGCTTCTTCATGCTCCTGTCCCATGGCAGTGGAAAAGGCTGGCTCAGGACATTCTTGCAGTGCTGGTCACTACTCTTAGACACAAAAACAAAGAAAAACCTCAAAACAGACATGCTATTGCTCCAGTGCAACAAGGATCACAGAATGTGATATGTGCTGTGGTTTAAAGCAGAGGTTAACAGCAGAAGATTCCCATCATTACTAAGATAAGACATGTGACCTCCTGGTCTGTGTGAAAAACCAAAGCAAGGCTTGGTCTCTGCTGTTGGCAGATTCCATTACAGATCTGGATGTCTCACACCTAGAGCTGAAGGCAACTGCACAGACAGCCAGTCAGCATCAGCTGAGAGAGGCCAGTTGGTAGATCCCACAGCTCACTGCCTGGCACATGGGCCATTCCCACTGCAAGAAACTCCCCTGTTGAATTTCAAGCTCATTTCTTGGAAACAGGCCACAGAAAACCACTGTAGAGTAAGAAGAGGAGCCAAATCCTACTTTTACACTCCTTAAAGATTCAAAAGCAACAAGAAATGTTGTCAGTGACATTTTACCCACTCAGGTGTCTTGACAAATCCTCTCCACACATCATTTGTTGAGCAGAACTTATTTTCCCCCCAATATTAAACATAATCACTAGAACCTTCATTCCAGCCAGCATGCATGCATGGCAAGAAGTGCCACATTTTGATCTCACTTTTCTTGCCAGCTGTCCCTTATCTTCTCAGATAAACAATTTATACCATTACTTCTAAGAATCTGGAGTAGTGGCTGACCTAAAATGCTACTTCTGCAGAAGCCAGTCCTTTTTCAGGTGAGGAGTAGAACTGAAGCAGTCCTCACCACACTACTGTCATTAGCACAAGCAAAGACTCAGTTATGATTATTATTAAAGTAATGGAGTGATGAGGCCACATCCTAAGCACGTGGTGAGCACATGAAAAACACAGGGAAAAGTTTAAAAACTCTTCCTACTGACTGTGGTAATTTGTGACAGTGTTTACTCCTGACGTCTGGAGGACATATTAGCTGTCCTCCTGAGAACACATTAAACATGAAGAATATTGCAGCACATTAGCAGCTGACAGCATCCTCTGAGCTCCTCTCCTGTGTCCCACCAACCCACAGTTCCCACTGTTTGTGTCCAGCTGGAGCTCTGCTAAAATTGTGGTTTATGACAGGCAGGTGCACCAGTATGAGACTGCAGTGACTCAGTCAAGCAGCACACTGCCCACACAGCTGAGGCACTGGCTAAAGAAAGAGCATGTGGAGAGGCAGAAGCTGTTACCTGTGGGTGGAGAGGGAAAAACATCCCCAGAAGGATAAAGCTCCTGGCTGTTCTCAGAGCTGTGTGGAGGCACAAAGTGCTCTGCCAGGTCACAGACAGAGGGGAGGTCCAACATGCTGCTCTCTGAGGTGTGACTCGGTGACGTCTCCTCTTCTTCCATGGTCCCACTGCAGAAAGAAATGAGACTCAGCTGTGTTTTTACGGCATGAAAACCTAAGCCGAAGTCAGCACAAATAATTTGGCAATTTTGTACTGCTTTATGAGATGACAGGAGCTGCTCTAGCCTAATCATACTTCAATTAAGAAAATAAAAAGAAATTTAAAGATGTAAAGAAAGAACAGCAAGCCCCATAGATAACAGCTCTCAGCCTTAAGTAGGATAACTAGGAGACAACAATAAATCTGGCTTTCCTAGAGGCTTCCCAGAAGTACAGCCTCAGGCCCCAAAACTAGGAAGCCATGGAGCATATTCCCCTCAAGAGTATCCTCTGTGGGCCATTTAAAAGCAAACACTTTCTACAGGGTCCCTTTCCACTGATGCTGCCACAAGTCTCAGGTTAAACCAACCCCTCCTGGCTTATGTTCAGTAGCAGAAAGAAAAAGCATCTTAAAACTTGGCAGCCTCAGTCTCACAGGGATGGCAAAGATTTCCTGGTGTGGAGACACCAGAGCAGTTGTGTTATATAATCAGTGCTCAGCACTTTGGAAAGCTTTGGTTGAAGCATCCCCTCAGCCCAACACCTTTTTATGAAGCTTCCTCAACCAGTCCACCAGCACAGAGGGAAGAACACACAGTAAGACAGGGCAGGTGCCACCCAGCTCCACACCAAGGGTTACAGTGGATGGGCAACTCCTTTGGAGAGGATGGATCTAAAGTGTTCCAGCCACATGAGTGTCTGGGGCAGAAGAGCAGTGAAGTGAGGAAAACTTGGTGGGGTAAGAGTGACAAGACAGAGGATCCAGATCTGGTGGTCAGGCAATGGCCTGTGGCCCTACAGGCTTACATTTATCTTCTTTTCTTTAAAATTAAGGCAAATTCTTGTTTTGGGGGTATCATCAGTAAGGAATGTGACAGCCACAGTGGGCAAGGAAATCCCCAGAATGCATTGGTACTGAAAAATAAATACCTCCAGGCAGATTTTTTAAAAAATGACAGAATTCCTTAGGTGCTTCTGTGCTGAGTAAACTTTTATCCAAGATACACCTCTGACCTTTGCAAAATGCTGGCTAGCTCACTGATGAAGAGAGGGGAGATGATGGCTGTGATACCAGAGAAGAGCAGCTGCTTTGCCTTGGAGGGAAAAGGTCTGTGCACCCACAGAAAGATTCCAGGAAAAAGGCAGTGGAAGGTTAAAAACAAAACAAACACACAAACAAATACACAACCATTTTCCCCCATCAGAAGGAAACTTCTCCTCTACTGCTCTTCATGCACCAAAATATAAATGATTTGTGCATAAGGAATATAGAGAAGGAAAAACTTTCCTCAAATATTCTGTTTATGATGTGTGCTACTTTAAAGTAGAATGGTATTTTAAAGAACTAAACTACCTATACCCTTCACTGGTCTGGAAAACCCCCAAAAACACACACCACAAGCCCAATGAATTCTATCCCTCCAAGGGACAAAATGGCAAATGGCAGATTACAGCAATAGGAGCTGCTGGTGTGACACCACAGCAGCTGAAGGCTGTCACTGATGGCAGCTGCTGCAGCCCTGCATGTCTCTGCCAGCTGCCTGGACTAATAACAACATGTGCAACCATGCTTTGATCAGGCTTAGACAGAACAAAGCAGTATTAAAAAAATAATAGTTTTCCTTTGGATTAGCTCCCTCTAGTCCTTCTAAGGCAGGTACAAGGCAGTCCTACCCCCAAAGCTGATGGTGAGACTGCAACTCATGGTGTTGTTGCTTCCCTCAGCTCTGGGCCTTCAGACAAATGAAGGAGATTCACTATTTCCTCTGTGCCATACCTGGTAAGAGAGAGCACTGATGTGCAAACAGTCCCTCTGGACAAAGTCCAGGAGCAAACAGTCTTTTGCTGCTTCAGGATTCCCTTATTCTTCCTTCATGGTCTGTCAGCCCCAGACTGCTGGAACAAAACAAACAGGTCAGTCAGATGCTTTGGGCCAGCTGATCTGGCAGATGGACAGAGTGACCTTTCAAAGTGCACATGCTAGCCAATGTCAACAGCCAGTCATCACATATGCCACTGTTTCTTGGGTCTGGTTCAGAGGAAAAGTTTCTTCTAGGAATCAGAAAGAGTACATCTAGTTATGCCCTTGAACATCTCGACAGCCATGGAAACCTCCAGGAAAGGGGCTGGCACATCCTAGAAGTAAAGACAAGATTTACTTTACAAGAAGCTGCCAGATGGGCTGTTTGTTCAAAACCCATGAAGCAGACAAGCAAGGAATAGCTGGCAACGTTCCCTGCCTCCTGTGGAGAGCAGGTATTTCCCCAACAGGTTTATCTAGGGGTGTCTTGAAGTCAGCAGCCTGTTTTGTCAAACCTCAACCAGGAAATGTGTTTTAAGAGGGCCACAAAACCCACCCAACACAGCGTCACAAAACGCAAATCCTGTTTCCTTTGCCATTACCTGGGTTATTTTCAGTGAGCAACCAGGACAGGCATAGCTTCAGGCAGGAACTGGATGTTTTTCTGGGCCACCCTCACCAATGGCACCGCACAGATACCAGGAATGTCCCAAAAGCCCGTCCTGCACAGGCTTGCCCGGCTGGCAGCATTGCTGCACAATGTGATGGGTACAGCACGATGTGAAGCACCGGCCTTACCAGCTGCCCTGCTCAGCAGGTGAGGGGTTTCTCTTCCTCCCGGCCTCGTTCCTTTCCCTTTTCCTTCAGGCAATATTCAGGAGTTATTTCAAAACCCCCTCCCCTGGCAGTGAAGCGCATCAGGAGTGACACGGGGCATGGTGCGAGCCCGAAGAATGGCGTGGGCCAAAGCCCGAGCGCCCCGCGGCCCGGCCACGGCTGCTGCGCCACCTCCTGAAGGAAAATGCCACCGCAGCAGCCCAAAGGCAGCCACAGCTCGGGGGAGGAGGGAGTGGAAACAGGGGGAAAGCCAAAAGTGCGGCAGGACTGCCCCGGGCCGGGCCGCACTCGCACAGCCGCGCCTCGGGCCCTCCACACGCTGCTGCCGGGCCAGCGAGGGCCCTGCCGCCCCGAGGCCGCCGAAGGGCGAGGGGAAGCGGGCAGAAGCCTCACGGCTGGGGGCACGTGTGACCGGAGAACCCCGAGCTCAGCGTTACTGGACTAGGAGGGCCAGCGCTAAAAGGAAGCCGGGCAGCGGCGGCGGCAGCGGCCCCTCGTGCGGCGCCGAGAGCGGCTGCGCAGGCCCGGCCCGCCCCCACGGGGCTGCGGGTGGGAAGGGGGCGGGTGGATTTCAAAATGTTCCCAGCCGGGTTTTCCTCGCAAGGCGTTCAGCTCGGGTTTATCTCTCTGCATTCAGAGGGGAGGGCTTTTGGCGGGCTCAGGCAGTGGCGCTGTCCCGTGCCTGGCACACCGGATGCTCAGCGCTTGGTCGCTGGGCACCGCCGCCCTGCAGAGGCGCAGCCTGGCCGGGCCCTGAGCAGCGATGAGAGCGGCGCTGCAGGGTGCAGATATCACAGACTGGGCTGAGAAAAAACCAGCACAATTCCCGCGCGGAACACAAGCTGCCAGCCTTCCTCCGAGGGCCTGCGGAGCTCATGGAGGAGATGTGCACCGAGGACTCCATGTGCTCCCGCAGGGAGTTTCAGCAGGAGGCGGAGCGGAAGCTTCGCAAACACCGCTGGGCAGCGGGACACAAACCACGCTCAGTTTGGGGCATCCCATGGCTTCGGCGCCTGGCACGGTCGGTGTGTCCTGCCACTGCCACAGCCACAGCAGGCGTGGTTGGTGACAAGGACATTTACGGGGCACCGACACAGATATCCTGAGTCTCTAGCAGGGCTGCAGGGAGCATCGCGGACAAGCGCTGGATCCTCCTCCAGCACAGAGCACACAGCGCAGGGCGCAGCCAGACATCCCGGGACGGAGGTCAGGGACCCGCCCTGCCGCCGTCCGGGCAGGCAGGCGGGAGGAAAGCTGCCGGCCCACCTGCCGGGAACGAGTGCTGCCCGGGGAGAGCTGCCTGGGCTCTTGGCACGCCTGCTGTGACAGAGACTGGGAAGGGACTGGGAGTTTTTTCCAAGAGCCTTTGGACTTCAGAGTTACTGAGAGCAAACTGATGTGTTCAGGAGGAAGTCCCTAAAAGGAGGGGAAATCAGTTTGAAGTTCCGGGGCTGCCAAGAGGGCTTTGTTTTTCTTGCAGGCTTGAGCTGGGAAAGGTCTCCAGAGGGAGAGCCTTTGGATCTGTGTTTCAGGCACAGCAGTGACTCTGCCTGCCCTTACAGTGCCTCTCGATCCAGGCCTGGGCATTTCGGGTCACTGCCCAAGTGGAGATGCATACCTGGCTACACCCTGGGCTGTAGCTGACCCTGGGCCCTGCTCTAGTGCTAGGCTACCTCTTGCCAGTTGTATCTGTCCCCAGGAACTACCCCTCCCTCTGTGGGGGCATTCTGTGACCTGGAAGGCAGCACCCCAGCCCTTCATTTCCTTGCTGGGATTAGAGCTGGAGCTGAGCTGAGGAATTCAAAACATCAGCAGGTCTGCTTTATGTAGTTCTGGGAGCACATGCAATATTACAGCATGCAGAAAACAGCCATCTCTGTGATTTCACCCCAATGGATCATGCCAGGTCTCTGCCACTAGAAAAGCTCTGGCAGTGGGGAACACCACTGGCTCCTGGAAAAGCAAGGAGCTCCAGCAAACAGAACTGCCAAGGAAGCTGTAGTACTCATTAACAAACCTACACAGCTTACCAGTTTCTATTTGTCATACTGGGTGGGCAGCCAAATCTTTGAAGTTCATTTCCCTCCTCTCCCTCACCAGAAATGAGGAGCTCCTGCAGTGCTGGCACCGCCACCGTCATAGTCTACACATTGTAATCTTTATTCCTTATGAACTGTTATCAGCAAGAAGATAAAGTTTGCCTGTAGTATTTAGGGCAAGTCTCTAAGTGTGTACTACGCTCCCCTTTATCATCCTCTTGTTGTTAGCACGTGATAAAACTCCACCAGCAGTCGTGTCTGAAGCTGGTTAAAATAGAAGGTACATGAGAGCCAGGAAACTCAGAATTAAACCCCACACTTGACATTTAGCAAAGATCAGACTACTGAGAGTCAGCTGGGGAAAAGGAAATGTGTTTTCTGACTATTGCAGCTCTGTCACAATGAGATTTTTCAGTGCTGACAGTCTCAAGGCCAGATGGTACAAGCTGTACAGTTCCATATCATTGAAGATAATGTGTACCTGCCAACTTACCATCTTAAATACTTAATCCATAACACGAAGAAAAAGAGTCTGTCTTCACAAACAGCAGAACTTGCACATTCATGTCTTTTCAGTTCTTTCCCACTGTCACACCACAGGGGAGCCTGCCTACTTCCTTCTTTTGCACACAAGAGCTCAGAGTTAATTTAGTACCTCAAAGCAGAGTAACAGCTGAATTAATAGAAGCTAATCCAGGAAGTGGGCTGAAGGGATGCTAAGGAAATGTGAACAAGGTTGATCCTTACACAATTGAATGTACAAAGATATTCTGTTGATTAACAGAAATTATTTAACCAAAGTTTGTAGTCTATACTTCAGTGTTTTGCGTTCACTCCTCACCATGAACTAGCCCGTTGTTCTCAGAACTAAAAGCAAGAAAAAAATACCAGTAAATTTAAATGTATTAATTGCATGCATTTTCCTTCTTAGCTCAAGACACTGTTACTAAAACAGATGGACTATCAGGCTCCATCCCAGTTTCCATTCTGTAGTTTTCCCCAAGCACTGCAGACAGTGTTTTAGTGGCCTTTGCTCTGGAAAATCCTGTTGTGGTTACCCCAGGAATGAGTGTTCAGGCCAGTGTCAGTGAGAAACAGCTCTTCAAACCCATGAGATGAGAAACAGCAACTGGCAGCTCATCTCCACTCCTTCCAAGCCAGTGAGGCTTGCTGAGAGCACTGCAAGCAGCAAAAAGCAGAGGAAGGCTGTAAGAAAGGCTCTTTTTTACCAGTCCACTATCCCATAAAATGTAAGACACCTGGCATTCTCAAGTCACTTTTCGTGTGATCATCATTCCTTCACCTAGAGCTGTGTCCTTTGTGTGCGCACCACAGTGCAGCATTGAGAGTGCAGCTCAGCTGCAGAGGCAAAAGACATTAAAAGCTCTTTTATCCATCCTGATTCCTACCAAGGCCACAGCAGGGTTAGCATACTTCTGGGAAAATCCTTGCTTACCTTGGAAAAAGAAAACAGGTTGGTTACCCTAAAGCTCATTGATTTCTCCATCTGTGTTAATTGATCAGATGAAGAGTATTACAGTCCCTCCAAATTTGCCAAAGTTTTCAGGCCCTCAGGCCCACATAAAAAGACATTGTGTGTTTCATGTTCTGCCGCATCAAAGGCAATGACTCTAAGCAGCAGAGCTCCCTCTGAAGGGTCAGTTCCACTTAAAGTGAAATACCCCTCCTGGTCATTACTGTTTCCAAGCAGTGGTAACTGTAGGGCTAATGCCTTTCAGAGTTTCCACTGAGCTATCACAGAGAACTGGTTGTTACTCAGGTTCCTGGTTAACTCTAGGGTTAACATGTAAGCTATTTTACCTGTATTTCTAATTTGTAAGTTAATCTACCTGTCTTTCTCGCCCACAGTCAAGCAGGCATCTCCCAAGTTCCTCCAACCTCATAAGCTCTATTCTGGTAACTTCTCTTCAAGACAGGTGAAGTTTATGAGCAGCAAGTCACCTGCATTACAAAAAGTGGGTCAGCCAAGCAATCATAAGTATTCTTGGCCCGCTCTTCCCTGGCCATAGGACAAGCAAGGCTTTTTGTTTCCTCCTTCAGTATCAAGAGGTTTAAGCCTTTTGCATGCCGCAGTCAACACCCTGAGGTACAGGAAGTTTCAAAGACCAAATGTTTTTTTCTGCTGTACCACGTGCCAATAAATTGACTTCTATTTATTTTTCGTTTTTTCCGAATCCCTTGTTGTGGCTGTGACCTGCTTTTTGTGGTATCTGACTTTTTAAGGTGTCACTTCTAATCTAAATATGAAATCATGGTAGACAGTTTATGGTTTTCTCTTCAAAAAGTAGTTTACTGTGGCAAAGGTTTGACAATGTGAATGTTTGGGATCTTTCAGTACAAGCAGGAGCAGGATTTTTTTTTTCTGTACAGTTCTGTACCAAATCCCACCCCTCTCCTTTGAGATCCCCTGCTAGAATGGGTGCAGAAGCATGCCTTCCAGTGCTCTGAGTGATAATACCTCCCTTCTGTTTTGGGCTACCTCCTTGGCATCTGCTGCTGCTTGAACCCACTTTGAATGACAGCTTTTTAGGACCTAACATTATTATTCTTGTTCTGTCCAAGCTTTTAGCACTGTGGATGCTGATGTAGCGCTCTGTGGGGCCTCGTTTCCTCTCTTCTGCATCACAACTGACTAAAATAGAACAAAAGCATTGTGTGACTCAGGAGTAGGCATGAAGCATACTGTAACTTATCTCTCAGAATTCTTAAGAGCACAGCTTGGGTCTCCCTTCACAAGCATCCAGTTTCCTTCTGCCAGACTTCTCCTCTTGCACTGCATTCTGGTTTAAATCCCCACACCCACACCCTTGCATTCCTGCTGCCCAGGAGTTTTGTTCATCCCAATGCTCTGCCTGGCTGTGGCACTGCTGCTGCTCACGGCAATGCAGGTAAAGCAGAGACATTTGGAGTTCCTAAGTGTCACAGACATCTTTTGTGAAAAATCCTTTCTTGGGATTTTTCTCCCTTCTGAGAAGCTGTGGCCTCAGCAACAAAATGTAAACAATGGTTATCTGCTGCTGTGGACTGCAACAGGTGGATCTGTGATTGGTCTCCTGTGGATGTTTGGATTTACTGACCACTCATGGCAGAGCTGCTCTTGCTCTCTGCCGGGACACAGCTCCTTTGTTATTCTTTCTTTTCCTCTTAGCTTAGCTAGCCTTCTGAGAACTTTTCCTTGTATTTCTTTTAGTATAGTCATAATATATATAGTCATAATATAGTCATTTATA